GCCACGCACCCAGGGACAGTGAATGACCGTTCGGGTCAGCCCCCTCACTCTCATTATTTTCCCTCCTCCTCATTATCTCCACTTCTTCCTCTTCGCCGTCATGCGGCAAATCAACAAATCAGGCCCATCATCATCAGCATCATCATGGTCCTTGTCGCCACCGTCACCAACATCATCATCTACAGCAGCAACAACCACGTCATCATCGTCGTCATCATGGCATCGCCGTCGTCGTCATCATCAGCGCCACCATCATCAAAATCGTCATCATAGGGCTCACGGCGCCCCCAGTCATCAAAATCGCCATGAACAAGCACCGATGACCCCAACGGCGCACCAAGACGGTCGCCAATGACCCTCTTGGCGACGTGTCAAGCCAAAGGGACCCGATACCTAGCCAAGCGACCATCCTCGAACCTTCTTCATGTACCAAGCTAGCCCTGAGATGGTGGGGGGCGCCAGGCAAGAAGGAGCACATGCTGGGCCGCCAGGCAACGAGGAGGAGGAATGACAGGAGAAAGAGGAGGAGGAGGAGGAGGAGGAGGAGGAGGAGGAGGAGGAGGAGGAGGCATTGGAGGCAATGTGGGAGGAGGCATTGGAGGAGCACGCTGCGGAGCCACCGCCTCCAGAGCGAGCGCAGCAGCATGGAGCGAGGAGGAGGCACTCTTGAGGAGGACGCGACCAGCCCGCGCGCCGCCAGGCGAGAGTCTTGAAGAACTCGCCCACGAAACAGCACAAAGGAAGAAGAACAGCAGGGCGCGAGCGCACGGAGAGGCCCCCCCCGAGCGGGACGGCAATGGCCGCCGGGCGCTCGGGCCACGCCGGCTTCGGGGCGAGGCGCAGGCGCGCCGCCACGGACTAGCGCGGACGGATGACCAACCTCGCGCATACCGACGACACGCAAGACTGGACCCAAGGCGAGAGTGACCTTCGCGGCTTTCGGGGGGGGGGGGGGAAAGGGAGGCCCCACCTGAGCGCGCAAGCCGCTGCTGTCGCATCGCGTGCAGCGATCGGGGGGCCCCACTATGCCCGCACCAAAGGTCACGCTGGCAAAAGGTCGCTCTTTCGCGCAGCCGAGCACCGCGCACAGCGATGAGTGACGCCGGCTCGTCTTCGCCATGAGCAGCAGAGGCGGGGGTGTCCGTCCCGCCGGGCACAGCATTCGCCAGCTGGTGGCCTGCAAAAGCACGCGGGCACCTGTGGAGCTTCAGCATGTGCGGCAGGGTCTACGTGCACGCGTTGCCGCGACGCTGTGACTGCGAGGCAATGGCCAGACCACGGGCCGAAAATTCAGGGTCCAAAAAGTCGCGGTTACGACGGGCGCAAGTTCAAGGGTTGGGCAATCACAGTGCGGGCCACAACCACCATGAGCAGGATCACTAGGGGCATCCCCGGGGCAATCATTCTCTCCTTCACCACGCGAGTACCCAGTAGCGCCGTCACACGGCAGAGCTCAAAGCCATGTGCACACACATTGACGGCCATCGGAATGCATCTGCCCACGATCACTGTCCAGGTGCGTGCTCACCATGCTAGCCACGCAGTGATGAAGTGCAAATTTGTCCCCAGCGGGGGTGACGGGCCAGTAGCGATGATCATGAGCCTGGCTCTGAAACGCCCCAAAGTCGCACGGGATGCTGGCCGCAATGAGCACGTGCGTCCACTGCTGAACGAGGCGCCGAACGCATGCGAACTGGGCTGCGGCAGCCACCAGAGCATGGGCAAGGACGCCGGTGAGCTCCGGCAGCCCCTGGTCAGAGTGAGGTCGAGGAACGGCGTAGGTCATGCACACGAGCTGTCGGAGGTCGGCGCCGGCCCCCGTTCCCTGGCGAGCGGGATGCTCATGTGCGCATGCCGACAGCCGAACATATGATCAAGACAATCACAACGCAAGAATTCAAGGAACCAGGGCCAGCTTCCCGGAAGGTTCTTAACACACACACGCACACACCTGCGCCAACTTCTGCCGTTGACGCTGTCGAGGCGAACGTCATCCAGAAACGTGGCCAGCCTTCCGGCAAGCTGGTTCAGAAACGCTGGCCCGACTGCTCGGGAGGAGGTTTCTTAATCATATGCTCGACCGAATTGTTTCTTCTTCGACCTCGGGGACTCAGTCGTATGAGTCGACCTGACTAACCGGAGGCAGGAGGGGGAGGAGGAAGAGAGGGAGAAGGAGGAGGAGGAGGAGGAGGACGAGGAGGAGGAGGAGGAAGAGAGGGAGGAGGAGGAGGAGGAGGAGGAGGAGGAGGAGGAGGAGGAGGAGGCAGAGGTGTGTGGCGGCAAAGGGCCGAGGCAGGCACGGCGGACTGGCACCGGGCAGCGGGAGCAGGCTGCGGAGGGGGAGCGCCGAAGCGACGATGCTCAGCGACACCACGCCGACGATGACCGTGCACACGATGCTCGCGGCCGCGCGAGGGAGGAAACACTGACAGAGAGAAGAGGGTGGGGAGAGGGGGACGCAGACCAGGAGGATAAGGCAAGGAGACTGTGGAGGGCGAGAGGGGAGCCGGACTCGAGGCGGGAGGGAGAAGAGGGACGAAGAGTGGCAACAGGAGGGATTGAGCGGCACGCTTCACGAGAGCGCTCCCGCACGAATCCTCTCCAAATTGACCTAGTTCAAAATATTCCTCCTGTAGAGGGACAGGCCCCACGTAAGGCAAGAGTGACCTTTTGGTGCGCGGCTTTGGAAGGGTCGCGAGTCGGCCAAACCCCTGGGCGCAGGCCCTTGCCATCGCACCGCGCTCCACGATCGAGGGGCCCTGCTGCCGGGCCCGCACCAGAAGTCGCTCTGGCGAAAGGTGACACTTGCGTGTAGGTGAACCTTCGGGGCCCAAGGACATACAAAAAAATACACACACAAATCCCAGGATTCCCCATATTTTCCCATATGTTCTGGGTCTTCGTCTTACCCCCCATTTCCCATATTTTTGACATATTTTCTTGGGAATCGACGATTAACTGTGTCTGTGTGTGTGTGTTTCCCCTCCTGAAGCCTTTTCTATTCGGCGTTTCGACATTGAGTGAAGGAGGAGGGGACGGGGGGGGTCTGGCTCCCGACCTCTGCGTAGACCGACTGCTTGGAGCATTGCTCCCATGGGGGATCTTATGGGGAGCCGTCCAACTGCCTGAAACAGGCGCCCCAAACAGCCAAGATCTACTCCATCGGGGGGGAGGGGGGGGAGGGGTGCAAGGCCCGCGCCGATCGGCAAAACAACGAATAAGAACACGATCACATTCCCGAACACGTGTTTGCGCCATCGCGCGCTTGTCCACCGAAACCCTTCCGTACGAAGCACGCGGCATCATGGGGCCGACACTGGCTACGTGCCGTCGGTGACCCGAACAGGGCAAACGCGCACACACACACACACACACCCGGACACACCCACACACACCCACACACCCACACACCCACACCCACACACCCACACACCCACACACCCACACACCCACCCACACCCACCCACACCCACCCACACCCACACCCACACACCCAAACCCACACACCCACACCCACACACCCACACCCACACACCCACACCCACACACCCACACCCACACCCACACCCACACACCCACACACCCACACACCCACACACCCACGCACCCACACACCCAAACCCACACCCACACCCACACCAACACCCACACACACACCC